TACATAAAAAAAATTTTAAATAGTTTTTTTTTTTTTTTAAACTTGTGTTGTCAGTTTGTTTTATGAACAAGCTGTTTTTTTTTCTCTGTGTGTGAGTGTGTAAGAAATCGTTCTCGTAATGTTATTTGGACAGACTTTAATATTCCATAGATGTCAAATCGCTAGTTCGTCAATGCTGTTTGGTATCGGAATATATTTTTTTTTATATGCAGACGCTGGGTGTTGCGTTTAAATCGCTAATGTAGTAATACCAGCTTAATTTCTCGTTCAACACTACTGTGGGAAAGCGTGGAGTTTCTGTGTATTTTTTGAGTATTCTGTCACTATTGATATGGGGAGAACGAAATTCTCGAAACTTTCTGTCGCCACTGATGTGGGACTGGCAAGGTATTGCTGTTTTCGACGTGAATGCGTTTCTCGAATTCTTCGTCGACACAGATGTGGGACTGGTAAGGTATTGAGGTTTCGGCATGAGTGAGTTTCTCGAATCCTGCGTCACCACTGATGTGGGGCCCAAGTCAGGACCACAGAAGGAAAACACGGAACACGGATTAGGTGTAAGAAAGATATATTAACAACAGGTTACAGAGATAGTGTAAGCGGAGCTTACTATATGTTAGTGTCCAATACTGGTAGACGTACGCAGCTCTCACTGTCTCTCTGTCTCTAGAGTGTTGTGTCGCATACTTAATATAGACCTGGAACAGTCTATTGTGTATGTAGTGTAAAGGCATTATTAATAGTTTTACTATAGAAGTGTATTGGAAAATAATTAAAGAAAGAATTAAGAATTGGCAGGAAGTAATGCAAGTATAGTAATAGTAGCCTTTTAGTAAACCTACCAAAATAAAAGTTAAAGCCTATGGCATTTGTTTTATATCTATTAATATATATACTATCCAAAATTTTAAATTTTCAACAGGAAACTATTTACCTTAATATTCCACTGATAAATGCCTTTGGTGATGGGAGTTCTTAAATCCAAAGACATCTTGACAAACTCATCTGGGACTTTGCATAAGCATCCAGGTTTATGCGCAAAAAGGTTTTCTCTTAACCCTATCTAGCAGATGAAACATTTTGGACAGAAAGCCTGCCCCATTAATATTTAGCAATTTACAAAAACATACATGCATATACATAAATGTGCACATGTTTTAAGTACACACACACACACACACACACACACACACACACACACACACACACACATATAAATATATAAGTACACACATGTATATAAATAGCTGTGTATGTGAAAATATAAATACTGAGTGACATGTACTTATATATATATATATATTTTGATTGGTATCATCCCATGCATGGCAGTAAAGCCACTAAGTCACAAGGGGTTTGATATTCCATGCTAAGAGCATAAACACATAACACCAGGTAGATAATAGAAGAAAGGTTTATTGTACACAACCAGTACAATATGAAATATGGTACAGTTATACACACAGGTCAATCTAGTAGTAAGTGCCACTAATTGGAAGGTCGGACATGCTTGCGTCTTCTCTCTCTCAGTCTTCCTCCAAGTCTCTCATAGATGGTTGACTTTATAGGTACTTACTACCTATAGTGTAATCATTCATAGGGGTGAGTGGTTATTCATTACATCAGGGTTATTGGGTGTGGAAGAATTATGAAGAGAAACATTAATAATGAGTTAGAAGAGAAAAGAGTAAACAGGAGAAAAGTAGATAGCAATTGACATTGCATTTAAAATGCTAATACATATGAATCCACTCAGTGCATAGCCACATATGCATACATACCTACAAATATATGTGCACACAAATATACGCACACATAAAAATACACTTGCACACACCCACACACACATATACCTATAGGTAAAAACAACTTTCCACATGTCAGTAAAACAATTTTAATAACTTTGTGTAAAGATATGTGTATTATAAACATTACATATAAATATATAAAAACATTGTATCTTTCCAAATCTTATTCTCTCTCTCTCTCTCTCTCTCTCTATATATATATATATATATATATATATATATATTAATTTCGATTATAGGTGCAATTCAATTTATAATTACATGAATCATTCATACAAAAAACAAATATAGAGGTTAATGATTTAAATGGCGAGAATTTAAATTATTAACCTCTATATTTGTTTTTTGTATGAATGATTCATGTAATTATAAATTGAACTGCACCTATAATCAAAATTAATATATATATATGTATATATATATATATATATATAAAGAACATCCAGATAATTTCTACATAATTTATATTCATAAACTCAAGAACACAAGAAAATTTAAATAAACTTAACCATATTAAAATGAACTATTCATTTTTTGATATAAGTTGTAAAAATAAAACTTGTTTATTTGACAGTTTAAATATTATTTTTCATCATAAAATATTTATCACTTTTCTGCCTTATGTTTACAAAACTCAGTTGTTAAAAAAAGTAAAACTGACACAAGATGGCTTCTTTCAAAAGTCTCTAGTCAAATCTATTCAGCAAAATGCTAAAATCAAGAAAGAAATAATTTTGGTGAAAAATTGAAGCTCTTCTGACTTCTATCTTGATCTGTTTTACATTTTGGATTTTAGATAATTTTTATATAATCAACCCTTTATTGTTTCCCAAATGGATATAAATTTCTCAGCACTATTCATCAGCTGTTGAGTTGTCTGATGATATTTTGAGTTTCTAAAAGAAAGATTTAAATACAGATTTGAAAGAATATTAAATGTTAGCAATATTTCATGTGAGTATATTTTATGGCAAAAAGTTTTTTATTGAGTTGATTGATATTCAGTTATAAATGCAAATGCACAAAACTGATTATTATGCACTTAAACTTTTATTCAAATTTATTGGCAACTGTTTGCAGAGATTTAGACTGAAATTTTATACAATGTATTCATTTATTATGTTTGGTTTTTAAATCATTTTACTTGAAGAAGGTCAATAAAACCAATTGGATGCAAGAGGTTACAGAATGTTAGAGAATATGAGAAGAACTACTATTAAGGAGTGAGGACAATAAAAGAATAAGAATTAAGAAAACAGCAGATAACAGTTGACATTACACTTACATTCTTGAAGATCAAAGTTGGCTGGGAAGCAAGAAGCCAAAAGAAATTTCCATAAGCAAGAAGTGCAAGAGAAGAAACTGTTAGCATAGAACTTACAGTTGCATCTAGACATTTCAATTGGAAATTGATGATGCCTTGCCGCCAATCTAGTACTGCACTTGAATTCATAAAGTCTAAGTACCATAGAGGAAAGTTCATCAGAACAATTACCATGAAAGTATTTATAGAAAAGACACAAGGAAGCTACATTACAGTGGTGAGAAAGTAACTGAAGCCAAGATGCTAGATCAGGACCAATAACATTGCAAATTCTTCTTTGGATTTTATCAAGAATCTTTAAGTTTATCACAGGAGCACCAGAAAGGATGTGGCAGCAATATTCAAAGCATGGTTTAATGGTTGACTTATAAATGTGCAAGATAGATTCTGGTAAGAAAAATTTTCTAACATGACAGTGAACCAACTTTCCTAGCAGAAGACTGAGCAATTGATTCAATATGACCTTCCCCTTTCATGTCAGAAGAAATTTAGATTTTTTATTGAATTCATGAAGTTCTTAATGTACATTAATTTTGAGAGTTATTTTAGTTGGTTTAAGATGAGAGTAGATTAAAATGTCTGTGACCAAACATTGACATTAGCTGAGTTTTGATCTGAAATATTCACTGTATAATGTTTGATCTGTGTGAGTCATGGAAAAAATATTTTCTTAAGTGCATTGAAAAGGAAAGAAATGATATTGAAAAATAGATATTTATTACATAAAATAAATTCTTTCATCATTAGTTTGTTGTTATCTAGGAATAAAGTGTCACTACCGACACTAGAGTTTGAACATAGATTGCCAGTGAGCAAGCACAAGTGATCCCATTTTGATTAAGTAGATCATGTAATTGTAAAGGAAATATATATATGGGAATTAGTGTGATGTCTAAATGATCACTATTTCTACACTATCCTCTATCTCTATACTGATCACTACACGGATTACTATTCGGTGGTTACTTTTCGAGCGAGTATTACCGAGCAAGTACTATTAGTACCAGTGTTATTCGAAGGCATCTGACATCAGTATTGTTCAATGGCGTTAATATAGTTGTATCTGCAATTACAAAGTCTCTACTACAACGAGCATTACGAAGTGACAACAAGTATTTGTTGACATTACAAAAGTTGCAACAAGTGTTTGCTGACATCACAAAATATATGAAGTTTTTAATTTACCTCTGTATATTTTTATATGAAAATTCAGCAGTTTTAATTTAGACAGCGTCTCTTACAATGGCAAATAAAGTATTTGTCTTGTTGCTTTTATTCTGCATTTCCCAAAAGTCAACTTGAATTTCAGAGGTTTTAGTCTGATCAGCATTTCAAGGAAGAAGAAATAACTGGTTCCTTGAATAAAACTGATTAAATTCTATATTATTTAGAAAAATCTGATCAAAATAGGAGTGATGCATTGTGGGAAAATGAAATAAAATGAATGAATATAATAATAATGATGAATAATAAAAAAACGAAAAAGAAATACATTTTCCCATGATGCTAAGAGTAAAGAAACCATAAATATGGCAATCCCAATGATGCTTCATCAAATACCATTAGGCGACGCTAATTATGTCTATAAAAAGACAAATATTTTCCTCCTCCAATCTTTTGCTTCCATTGCTTATTGAGAAACTTTAGCTTGCCCAGTCCACTGATGACTGACCCTCTCTCTTTCTCCCCACTTTCCAATGCATGACACTTGTATGTGTCTTCCAAAAACCTCCACCTATGAAGTAAGTCAAGCTTTCTGTTTGGTTGTTCTAACTCAGTGCAAGACTGACTTGAGCCCAACCATTGTAATGATGATTATACTTACTTAAATTATTGACCAATAAAAAGTAAAAAGACATTGTGTAACCATGTTTAAACCTTCCAATGCTAAAGTAAGTACAAGTTCCTTCTGTTCATATCTATATCTTCCTGTTTCTATCTATCTATCTATCTATCTATCTATCTATCTATCTATCTATCTATCTGTTATGGAGTGATTTCACAGTGGAGGCTTGTATTTGTATTAAATTGGTCCTAAAATAGGTTCGACGTACAAAACGTTAGGAACTTGATATAATAGGTATAACGTAGAGTAATCTAGTTGTGGTCGCTGATACTTTAGTATCCGACTAACGGTCGTACAGCATCGACTGACTGACCAACTCACTGAGTGACTGACTCGTTACTCTTACTATTTATTATAGGTGGGAGAGTCTATTAACTATAGAATAGGTGTGTTCCACTATAACAGTCAAACTAGCTAGCTCAGTCTGTTCCTCTCTATTTACCTTAATGTTTATATGTATCTATCTAACTCAGTCTACTTATATTTATCCATGTGTGTTTCTATCTATCTCAGTGTTTATCTTTATCTAGCTTACTTTGTTCATATCTAGAAGTCTATTTATCTATATTCCTATGCACTCCTAAGGATTTTCTAAGTCAGCCATCAAGTAGATAAGATGTATATATAGATAGAGAATATGATCTTCTACCCCCACACTCTGTATGCTTAGAAACAATATTTTGGTAAAATGCAGCTAAAATGAGAAAACTCATCTCAAAACAATCTTGAAACTAATTTGGAAATTTCAAGCAAGAACAGAAAAAATAGATTTTATCTGAAGCATTTTCCTGCTTTACTCTATACTGAAGAGAATGCAAATACTTTCCATTAAAAACTTCATTAAAATTTATTCTCTTTTTGTGGATGATAGGCATTGACTCGTTATAGGTAGAAGCCTATAATGCATACTGGATTTTTGAGAAATCTATATAATTGAGACAGGATTTTTTAGAAACCTGTAATTAATAACAGATATTTATTTGAAGTTTTAGCAGTGATATAGGAAATAATATTGAATAATCCATCAAAGCAATAATGTAGGAAATAATATCGGAAAACCATTAAGGCAATAATGTAGAATAATATAGAATATCATCAAATTAATAATATAGGAAATAATTTAGAAAAATCCATCAAAACAATAATGTAGAAAGCATAGAAAACCATCAAAGCAATAATGTAGGAAATAATATAGAAAAGCATCAAAGCAATAATGTAGAAAAAATATAGAAGATCATCAAAATAATAATGTAGGAAATAATATAGAAAAAACCCATCAAAACAATAATATATCAAATAATATAATTTTGCTATCCTTTGTGAATGAGAATTGAATAAATTATATTTTCAATGAAGGCTGAATAATAAATTCGCCAACATGTAGAATCTTGGTATGAAGAACTTGTCGAATAATGTTGTGCCTTTCTGTATTTAATAATTGAAATGGTCTGAGTTATATTCTTTTAAAAAAATAAAAATATTGATATTTTCTGCATTGTTTTTTACCTTAACTTTTACAAACAGGAAGAAATTCATGGCACACAACAACAATATTTCTGCTAGGCATCATGTTCTGAGAACTGCATTAAATTAAGTGTTTGCCATTATCACACTCACATGAAAAAATGTTTACATTGGAACATAAATGAAAATAGTGGTTAAATTAGTCACTTTTTTTCTTTAATCATTTAGCTTGGGCTTTATCTGCTTTGATAGAAGTGAATATTTTTGCTTGACTGTTGGGACAAATGCCAGTTATTGTGTCCATAAAAGAAAAATAACAATTCTTTCTACTCAACAGCACAAAACAAAAATTATTAATACATAAAAATAGAGGTTCTTGTCTTTGATTTTTTCAAGGTAAATCTGGATAAAAATTAGAAAATATTTAAAACTTATTCTTTTTTATTTTATCAATCTGGCCAATTTGTGTACAGCAAAATGAATATAATTTGATTTCTTTTGGCTTTTCCTTTGTGTGAACACATTTACAGTTATCTGATTCAAGGAAAGGTCACCTGGAATTGCTAGGGATTAAAAGAGCTGGGAAGTGCAGAATATTGGTTAACTTGCAAGTGGTCTGACACACAGGTAGACTGGTGTAGTCACTTCAAGTCAGAGAACAGCACAGAGTGATTTAATGGTGAGATATATGGGTGAATAGAGTCCGCTCATGGAAATGTGTTGGGCAGGTCCATTCTAGTAAAGTGGACTAACCCACCTACTGTATTAGGTACTCTCCTATAAATGAGGTAGAATTAGCTGGCCTGTCTTTACAGGGAGAAACAAGGAGGCAGCCATGTTAGACATTGTCATTTGACTTCTATAGGAAGAACATCTTTAACTTTAGTTGCTACATTTTCATGTTAGTATTCACTTTTTTTCTTTTTTTTTAAGCATATCACCTCAAGCAAGGCAGGTGTGTCACTAGCACACAAGAGGTAACAGAGAGTGAGAACAAGAGTATAGATATGTGTGTGAGGAAAGGCTATATAGAAGGATGGGGATCAGGATCAAGGAATCAGAAGATGTTGATTGATATTTCATTTGAATATTTGAAGATCAGAGCTATCAGGGAAGCAAGTAAGAGGAAGGAAGTTCCACTGTTGGGAAGTGCAAGATAAGATGCTGTTAGAGTAGAAGAGGTGGTTGCATTTAACTGTTTCGATAGTGAAAGGGTGGGGCCAACATGCCAACCTAATAGCATGCTTAAATTCAGGCAGTTTATGTATCAGTGAAAGTAGCTCGCCAGAGCAGTTGCCATGAAAATATTTGTAGAAAAGACAGAGGGACAATACAGCACATATGTGAGAGAAAGTGACTGGAGTCAAAATGACAAATCAGGACCTAAAGATGTGATGTGGAAATTGTTGCCATTTTATTTTTTTAATTTCACGCATGTGCACTGTTTATTTTTGATTTCATTGACTGCACAGTATAGCACCATCTGTAGCAAAAAGAGCACCATGACACAATTCACTCTGCCAGAAACTTGGAAACAGTCTACTCCAATACAAACATTTCAGAATGTTTGTGAGCCAGTCTGAGGACAGTGCTGAGGATTCGGAAAAAGTTGGATGATTTATCTAGTCAACATCATGTTGTTTGGAAAGATCACTAGTGATGATGATGTTATGCTTCCATTCATCATTCCACAGTGCCTTGAGGAGGTATTGCTGCTTTGGGTCAACAGGGTGACTGCTGGAAGACCCTGTGTTTGGTAACAGGACTTTGTACCATGTCACACAAACAGGAGAACCCAGATAATTTCTGGGAATACATCACCGCCTTACATCCAGCCACCTGACTCCCCAGACTGCAACCCCCTTGATTATTATGTGTGGAGCACAGTTGAGCAAGAGACCAACAAAAGTCTTTGTGACAGCAAAGATAAACTGAAGACAAGGATTATGGCAGCATTTACCAAATTAAACAAGGAGACTGTCTAGAAGAGTTGCAGGAGATTCAAATGTCATCTGGAGACTGCGGTTGTAGTGATTTTAGCGAATACATTTACTCTTTAGTATTTCAAGATATTTTTATGTAATTTTGGTAAATGAGATACTAGTGTTATTTTCATTTTTGCATGATTTAGATGACAATTTATCTGTTGAACCCTATACACAACGACACACACATACACACACACATATATACACACACACACATATATGCATGCACACACACAGACACAGATAGATATATACACACACACAGATACATATACACACACACACACATATATATATATATATATATACACACAGATACATACACACACATACACACACACACACATATATATATATATATATATATATATGCACACACACTGAATTTGGATTTAGCATTATTTACATTTACATGTTCCCATCTATGTTGTTGTTATCACGTTTCAGCGTTTGTGCCCTCTGGCCTTCTTCAGGTGCTTCTCAATTCAGCTAACCTTCAGGATATTTCAACCTGATCCCTTTATTTAATCCTTGTTAAGCTGCTCTTGTTCTGCTTGTTGCTGTCTTGAAATATAATGTCTTGTTCTTATTTACTTCTGATCATTTACTGCTTCACTTGTTTCTAATAAATCTAAGTCAGTATTGCCCAGCCCAGAGATTGAACTCACAATCAGTATGCCGACAAATTTATAAACCAACATTTTAGACTATTAGGCTATTGTCCCAGGGGACAATGAAAAACCAAGAACTTGGAACCTTAGGCCTAATTTTCTTGTTCCCTATCTGCTACTATATGGTAACTATTTCTATGCTAGGCCTACTGAATAGGCCTTCATAACATTGTATATGCACTGATTCCTTCAAACATCTGATTCTACAGTGTTCTTCTCTGCTTAGTATTTTTACTTCATACCATGTACGTTAATATGCAACACTTATCTCTCCATTCATTATCTCTTTGTGATATTCTCTTTTATTATATTATTACTCTGCATTAGCAGTCACATTAAGATGAGTTATGGCCCTTGACCCAAAAAACATGTATGGGTTTTCTGACTTGTTCCCCAAAGACATAAAAGTAGAGTCTTTCATTATCACCAGTTATTGTGTGTACCACCACCAACAACAAAAAACCAAAAAACTATCACAGCTTTATAATGAGAAGCTGTTGTATTTTACAAGAGAAATGTGTATAATTGGTAGATAAGTTTGACTATACTGAATAGGAAAGAATATAAAGATATTCTATCAAGAAAGAATATGTCATGCTAGACAATTTTTTTGTCAGAATATTTCTTAAACGTTTATAAGTCTAACATTCATCAATGCATTGAATATTGCTGCAACATCTCAACTGGTGCTTCTACAATGTATATAGAGATTCTTGATAAAATCCAAAAAAGAATCTGCAATGTTATTGGTCCTGATCTATCATCTCAATTTCTGTTACTTTCCTCCACCATGACAGAGTTTCCCTGTACCTTTTCCAGAAATATTTTCATGGTAATTGATCTTATGTTTTCCTCTTTGGTACCTTGACTTTACAAATTTAAGCACCATACTAGATTGGCAGATAGGTCTCACTTGTGGAACTCTCTTCTGGCTCTTTCCTTTCCAGTTTCCTGTCAAACTTTGATTTTCAAAAATTTAAAATTCACTGTCAATTGTTATCATCTGTTTTCTTAATTCTTGTTC